GTGTGTGTGTGTGTGTGTGTGTGTGTGTGTGTGTGTGTGTGTGTGTGTGTGTGTGTGTGTGTGTGTGTGTGTGAGAGAGAGAGAGAGAGAGAGAGAAAGTGCTCCCCATCACTTACCCTCGATTCTGTCTCTTAGGGATCGCTGACCCAGTATTTTCCACCCATGTGAAATTCACTTACTATAAATCAATACTGCACTGGATTTAAATACCTCTTCATCCTTGAATTATTTGCTGTCTGTCACAAGGCAGTCTAGCGTGTGTGAACTGTGGGGCATAGACTCAAATACCGTGAAGGAGAAGCAAACCTCCGGAGAATTTAAAAGAAAAATCGGGGAAAAAATAGCCTTGTTTAATGTAAGGCCCCCCAGGAACTAATATCAAGATTCCCGTCGCAACTTCAAAACACTGCTCACTTGTACAGCATGCGTCCGACGCCGTGCGCATTCACCCACGAAAGGTCATGCTCCGATACATCGGTTAGTCGTAAAGGTGCCACAGGACTCTCTGTTGCTTCTTACAGATCCAGACTAACACAGCTCCCCCTCTGCTACGTGTACAGGGGAAAAAGTCAAAACCAGAATTAGTTCTGGGGTAAGATTTTTCAAAAGCATCTAAATGATTTAGGACCCTATTTTGATAACCCCAGCCCAGAGTCTGATAAACTCCAGCCAACCGGCAACTGCCATTCCATCAAACAACCACAGGTGACATGCCCCGCGCAGGTCGGTCTTGGGGCTTAGTCCTATGTGCTACATCATCATCGTACATAGTCTGCACCCCCGGTCACGCCTCAGCGATCACACATCAATGTTTAGCTCCACACAGGAGGATCTCTGGAGATAGGTTAGAGATTGTCGCCCCTTTGGGCCCAGGGGTTCACCAGACTTCCCCACCTTGCAGGGGTATTCTTTGGTGTCCTCTTGCTTATTTATAAAGGATTTGCACGGGGCCAGTGCAGCCGCAGGAAGTTCCCTTCCTCCGAAATCCCCATGCCTGCCTCTCCGGCAGGCTCTGTGCCCAAGAAAATCTCTCCGCTCTCCGTGTCGAACTCCCTACAGCAGCCGATCTCCTGTCATCGGCAACCAGGGAAACCCCCGCTCTTGCTAACAGACATTAGTAGAGGTGGAAGAAATGTTTTGTGCCACGTTTTTTTCCACAGATTCAGGGCAACCAAAGCTATGGGTCATTTAGGTCAATTTGTGGCAACTCATTCTGGTCGATGACAAGATCTATTAGAACTGGGGAAAGTGCAGTGAAAGGCAACTTAAGTGATGAGGGGGATGGAACAGTTTCCATGCGAGGAAAGGACTGGAACTGCTCTGCTTGGAAAAGAGACGATTAAGGGGGGATAGAATTGAGGTCTATAAAATCCTGATGGGTGTGGAGAAAGTGACTAGGGAAGTGCTATTTACCCCTTCATGTAACACAAGAACAGGGGTCACCCACTGAAAGAAACAGGCAGCCGGTTTAAAACAAACAACAGGAAGTATTTCTTCACACAACGCTTAGCCAACCTGTGGAACTCACTGCGAGGGGATGTTGTGAAGAGCAGAAGTATAACAGGGTTCAGAAAAGAACTAGATCAGTTCCTGGAGGACGGGTCCATCAACGGCTATTAGCTGAAGGAGCAGGAGGCCATGATGCAGAAGGACTTTGTGGAGAAAGCCAGGCTGATGGAGGACGAGATCTCGGACCTCAGGGAAGAGATACGTTCAGCCAAAGCCTCCCATGCCAGTGGCTCCATAGTTCCCTTCCGTGCCCCTGACCCATTTCCCCCTGGGCCGCCCTTCGGGATCTTTCCTCCCATCCCCTGTCCCCCCGTCTTCAATATTCACCGTGCCAGACTCTCCGTTCGCCACAGCGCCCACAGGACCTGCTGCTCCAGCGACAGCAACTCTTCCACACACACCAGCTGGGCAAGGCCAGATCGGCAGCTGCCGCTGCGACCCAGCCCCCCTCTTTGTCCAGCCCCCCAGCCCCTTGCCAGCCCTGAGCCTTTGACTTTCTCTGAGCTCGGTCCCCCTGGGTCTTCGGAGGGGGTGGGGGAGGGTCTTACGGGAGCTGACAGCTTCCGGCAGGGGTGGGGTTTTAGGGGATCGGGGCCCAGGCTTTGGCGGTGGTGGGGGGGTCTCCAAAGCCCTTGGGTGGGTTGTTGGGAGTGGGGGAACCGCTGGTGCTAAAGACAGGATGATGCTGTTTTCCTTCGCATCAGCCCTTGCGCCCCGTTTCCCAAGTGACCTGCCTGGCTCGGGTTCGGGGCCATCTCCTCGTCAGGGTTTCCCACTCCCCAGTTTTGGGGTTCGCTGCCAACTCTGTGTGTTTTCAGGGCATTCCCTGAGATGGTAACCAGCGAAGGGCCCAGCCCGGCTCCACTGGAAACACCCCGCTCGGGCCGAGTCCCCATTTCGAGGTGGCTCCGTTATCCGGGGCACTCAGCGGAGACGGCTGCAGGCCAGCCCCCGAGCGCGGCTGCGTGGCCGTGTTCTCGCATTAGCCGACCCGGGTTACATCGGCAGCGCCAGGGCGGCCGCTCGGCTGCTGGAACTCACCCGACTGCCCATAGGCCGGACGCCAGCCACTGAGACTGCTCCTTGGACCCGTGCGGCCGGGGAGGGGGGCAGAACCCCCCTTGCTGGGCTGC